CTTTGTACATCTACCATTCTGCATGCAAGGAGAAGATTTCCTAGCAGAACCACATGGACCATGCATCATTAAACTTTTCACAGCATTGTAATAATTAGGATAATCCACTTCATCTGGTATTTCTGCCGAAATTATTCGATCAATATCTGACGCAGATGGAAATTTATCATGCTCATGAAGAAAAAGTAAGATATGAGCATGAGGCAGCCCTCGTTTTTGGAACTCAATGGTATAAATCACTGCATCGAAGAGTATGCAAGTTTATTAGAAATAACAATTGTTTGAATAGTAGGAAAAAATTATATAAAATCACCATATTTATTTAAATTAAATGCAAATTATTGTATACCTGCTTTTACTTGTCCAAAAACTTTATTATCTCTCAAATCCTTTATTAAGTGGTCCAATTTAATTTTGAACACCCTACTTAAAATATCTGGACGATCTTCCGGATTCAAGCCCCTGCTCTCCACAAATCTAGTAATCTCTGGCCACTTAGGATTGCAAGTAAATGTGATAAAAAGATCAGGGTACCCAGCCCATTTGCATATTGCCATAGCATCTTGATAATTCTGAATCATATATCGTGCACCCCCTGTAAAGCTTGAAGGTAGAATTATCCTTTTACCTTGGGATGAAGGATCGATGTCACCATGTAATATAGCATCTGCTAAGACTTTATAAGAATCAACTCTTAATTGCTTTTGATGAGTCCTTATAAATTTCAACCGAGAAGATTCTATCATTGTATAACCATCAACTAAGAATTGTTGAAATAGTCTTCCTGAAGACACAATGGTGGGAACTTCTTCTTTTCTTTCCTGAATTCTATANGACAGCGGTGGCATTTCTGGACATACTGGATGCAGTCTGTTTCCATAGTCATCCAAAAGTAACCAGCCCGGAGTATTTTCTTTGCTAAGCTGAAAAATTAGTAAGAAGTAAGCAGAACTTACAAAGAGCAAAGAAAGCCCAGTTGTTTAATGAGAAAACTTGAGCAAATCACAGTTGTAAAGATTCTCTTTTTAGTACACCCAATTTCCCAATTGTCCCAATTTTCTGATCTTTCCATAGAAGTATATATAATTTGTAAAAGTAGAAAACTGAATTGAGGAAACTGTGAAATCAAGAATTCGTGGATGAGGAGTTGAAGTGGTGGTGAGAGATCGTGGGAGTATTGCCGAATTTAATGGATTGCTATTTCTAGGGCAAATAGTCGAATGAAGAACGTGGGGGAGGGGGGGGGGAGGTGAACTCTGAAGCGTCCAATTTTTCTGAGGGTAACTTCTTTTCTCTTTCTTATATAAAATTGTTTTTAAAAACAGTACAAACTACCTATTTAATTATTTTTAAATTGAAAATTTTAAAAAGAAACTAATTTGCTCCTACTGAATCTTTAAAAATAATATTCTTATTTAACTGTTTTCAAATTCAAAATTTTGAAGTAGAAACGAATTTTACCTAATTTTAACAACTTTGTCCTAAATTAGCCACATGGCATTTTATATGCTCAACACCTGGCAATTTTTTAGGCAGACTTCTTTCCTTTTAAGTAAATATAGATTTTGGTATAAATGTTTCTTCTTTCTAAAGAGTTTCGTTCTGTTTCAGGTTTTTAGCTGTTTTGTGTTTTTTTGTACTTTCTTTCTAAAAGAATTCAATACATTAAAACGATGCTAGTTAATCCTTATATATGATTCCCTGTAATTAAGTTTATTTAGACAAGTCCTAATACTATAGATATCCAATAAAATTCTCTTGAAACCGTTAATGTCATAAAAATTAGGGAAAAGGTATAAGTACCCCCTCAACCTATGACATAAGTTTCAATTACATACATTTCCTTTATGGGGGTTCTATTACCCCTTAAACTATTCTAAAGTGGAATAAATATCTCCTTGAAATGTCATAATCATATTTTTCTTGGGAGGTAAAACACACTCGCCTCCATGTGTATATTCTGTTACTCTTTTTTTCTCCCTCATTATGTTCCTTATTTTAATCTATTATTCTATTCTTTCATGACTAATAGTAACAATATGACAACAATGAAGTCCAAAATTTTAATTCTCCGATTTTGATTTCGGTTCAAAAAATAATATTCACGTATAATAATTTTTTTGCCGTCGTTGTTGTTGAATTTTTAAGAAAAGAACTGTGTATTTTCAAAAAGGAAGGAAAAGGATGTTAGTTTAAGTTAATGTCATAATTAATTAAGTGTAATATTCAATAAAAAGATGACACGAGTACATATAATCAAATTTAAATTTATTTTTTTGCTAATGCATAGATAAGAATAAATCCATAAAAGATTAAGGAAAAAGTACCAATCTAAAGTTAAAAAATAAATTTTCAAAGGAATGGTGTTGTAAATGGAGCTCAATGCCTTTCAGTGGTGGCTTTGTCATCTCGGGAAGAAGAAAAAAAGTAAAAGACAAAAGACTAAGAAAAGAGAATGTAAAAGAAATAAGTAAATTTTTGGGCTTCTCACTCTCTCAAAGAGAGTGAAATATACATACTTTGTCATGTCATCATTTAGGGTGATAATAATTTCACTTTATAATAGTTCAGGGGGAGGGGGGTAATAGGGCCCCGAAAAGAAAAGGTGTGTAGTTGAAATTTCGGTCTTAAGTTAGGGTGTACTTATGTATTTTCCCTAAAAATTAGATTGAGATGCGACAATCTATTTGAATTTTATTATTACTTTGGAGATTAAAGATGAAAATGGACGTAATAATAAAGCAAATTAAACTCACATTTATTTTGTGAGATACTATTACCAAAATATCAATACTAGAGGTGGCAAAATGGTTAAGAGAAAACAGTTATCCACCCATATTATCCATCAAAAAATGGGTTGGATAATGAACCATTTAAAAATGTGTCGAATATGCATAAAGAACCATATTATCCACTTAGAAAATGGTTAACCAAATGGATAACCAGTGGATAACTAATGTAT